ATGTGGACAAATTTTAGAAGCTTGTAGTTGATGAGCACCTCAGTCCTGACCAGTAGTCTTACACCGTAAGTCCCATCACCCAGATATTTTTTTTCTGGTTGGGTGATTGAGTCTTACTGCCTGACTAATGGCGCTGTGAAACGTGTTTTGATGTCGATAGCAAGTCAACTTTTCAGGAATATCACACACAACTGCACCAATAACGACGCCTTTCTATAAAGTAAAGTTACAATGTTTTGTTAGACTTTACTTACCCTGATGTTTTTTCTCCAATAAATTCAAATTCTCACTAAAGAAATGGAGCTGTTTTCAAATTTAGTTGACCTTCATTTCAGTTGACTGGAAAGCGATGAAAGCCGGGAATGCCGATTTAGGTAAGGTTGAAATATTATTCTTTAACCAAACGAATAAAAATTATATCATGCCTAATGGAATTATAAGCAACGTTTCATTTCGTTTCGTTTAAGAAACATATCTCCCACATGAACCTACTGGAACATACTTCGGCATACCTCGACTACCGTCGCATTGCAAGAAATTCAAATATATATCAACGGAACATGAAAATGCGTCCATTTTCTAGTGTCATATTTTGATTCCACCAGGATAAAGACAACAAAGTAAGTATATTAAATACACAATAATTAGTGGATGAGTCGATATAGGCTGCCAAGTGTGAGATATTCCTGAAACTTTGGCTACTCGTTCCGATGTCATTGACACCGGAACTGGACTATGTAAGACCGTTATTATGGTCGTAAGACGTAGCACACCCAAAACGACATGCTATGTCATACATTGTAGGACTATCCTGACCAGGTGTATAATGCAGATGAAACTGCATTATATTGGCGATGCGTGACCTTGGTTGGTCTGGCAAAACTGTCAATCCGGCAAGGCTTTGGAAACAATGGTGCTTGAAAATCGGTGGTTTGCCTCTATATGTTTCTACAATAATGCATAATGATGCCATTAAAAGTTTCATTTCATCATCGTGCTGATTTAAAAGCTTGTTATAATTGAGATCATACATATGCAATTTACCTAATTTTAGCAAAATAAAACAACCATAAATCGCCTTGACTTAATTTTGTCTATTTGTTTTTTAGACCGAATCATACCATATATATTTTATATTTTAGATTTCCTTTATATGTCATTGTAATGTTTAAAGCATTTGGTTTCTTCTCTATATATTTTACAATCATTTTCTTTCTTATAGTTTCCTTCTGTTTCTCGAACGCAACTTTGTTCTACATCTTTAAAGGTCCCTTTCAAAGTCAATGGTGGTTTTTGTTTTGTTATCATTTCAGAGAAACGTTAAGGGTCTATACCATATAAGTCTTAGCATGGAGATTAGGAAGGAAGTTGGATGATACAAAAGGAAGAGTTAGCGTGGGTGTACTTTTAGTGACCAGAAAAATATAGTGTGCCGACTATTGAAATGTGTTTCAAACTGACACTCAGCGTCAGATGAACTCTTGACAGTAAAACTATGTTTCGAAACAAACCATATACCTTATCCTCTTTGGGATGCGTATGTTTAACAGTAGATACATATCCTTTGACGTCATCTTATCTTACAGTTACTTGGCACTCACCAGTTATTATGTACTTTTGAGAGAGTGATGTATGTAAGGTGAAGTTGTTTACATTTTAAACATGCACAGTGGAGATAATGTAAGGATACCTCTATGCTACTTTCATGTAATGTGGCTGAAATTTATTTGGATATTGTGTTTTTGGAAATTTTAAATGATCTTAGCACACTGCTAATTAAAATGACTGATCTCTTGTGCTCCAAATATCAGCCTGAATTTGTCTAAAGTACACTATCCTTGGCAGCTATTAAAATAGGGAAAATGAATTATGCCAAACTAGACAATGCCAGCTTTAAAAGTGCAATGTATGAATTACCAAATACATAAAATGAAAAGGTTATCGGCTCTTTTTTTAAAAATTTACATCTGAAATTCGGGAAGTGAACATCAGCAAGTGGAGCTAGCACTTTTATTGAAAGGTGCACATCTGGAGTAAGGTCAAGCTGTATACTCTCTAACCCCTATTACACCCATCAATCATACACCAAAATAAAGGTAATTAAAGTTTTTTTGAAAAATACCTAAGATATACAAAGTCTCTTTTAAATAACCAGTATAACTAATGAGGAACCCGAGGGAATTCTTTTTCTTTAAAATTCTAACCCTATGCTAAACACGAAACTTTAGAGCGCCAACTTAAAAAACAAATGTAAACATTTATGCAATTATAGTTTTTTTTAAAATTTTTTTTATTATTATGTATGATGTTCTGAGCCATTGCAATCATTGCCAACAATCTTTAAAGTCTTCTTTTTTTTAATAAACATAATTAGAAATCTATTCTGTATAATTATTGCAAGCAGATCACGTGTTTAATTAACAACAATGCACAGCGTTAAAATACGCGCGTTCAACCGTAACACCATGTCACAATTTTCTAATGTTCAAGAAATTCCCATCCTGATAATTACGGGATGTTTACCCAAATTATGGGGGACGTCAATTTTCCAATGATGTTAAATCTAACAGGAACTAAAACGTACAAATTGTATGCCATTTCGATAAGGTCCAGTTCATTACTTAATGCAAGCTTAAACATGGCGCATTCCATTGAAACTCAAAAGGAAAAAAATAAACTTTTGAAACTGAGACGTTCCAATAGAGTGGTGGTGCGCTGGAAATGAAACGTTCCATTTCGATAGTGGTGAGCTCAGTTGTTCTTTTGTTGGATAGAGTTACCGCTTCTGGCAAAAAGGGAAGACCAAATATAAGATGATACATTGTACACTGCTAAGGACATCTGGCACCATATGATCTCATATTCTCCTCGCCCTTTGGAAATGTGTGCACGGCTTTATACTTGGGTTCTAATTGGAAATTTGATGTCACCAATAATATAAGATTTGTTCTAGATTAAAATCATGTTTCTACGAGTACAAGGTATCTCCTACTACACGACATATTAGGACTTAAATGTCATACAGACCAAGCATTTAATCCCAGTTGTTATATCTCCTTAAACAGTGAATGTATATCGATGCACAGATCATTTTAAATAGGACGGAGACCCCATCCTTGCACCTTTAGTCTTGTGTGATCTGCTTAAAATTTATTCTGTTATGTAGAATATTTTTCCAATTAAAAACTAACAATACATTGTTCTAAAACAGCATGAGTTCGCCCATTTAGTGCTAACATTTTTAATAACTAAATTTGAAAAATGCAAACCTGAGCAAACCTGGTCATCATTTTTAAAGTCATGGGATGAACACACACACAAACACATACACACACACACAACAAAATGAAAACACTCTCTGTACACCTGATACATCCTGGTGTGAATATAAATATATAGCGATTAGAAGACTTGACATTTATTAAGAACTGTACGGACTTGAAGGTGACGTGGATATGATAATGATGGTGGGGTCGAGACAATAATGGCTTTGGCACGGTTCGTAATGTCTTATACTTCAAAGGATATTTTGTATGGAAAGCATTCCTAATGTCGCATTAATGTCTAAGTGTTTCTTCATCTATAGTAATTCTTACTAAACAAAGCATTTGTTTTGCCCAAAATAACGTAAGTGATGACTTTACACGAAGTTGATTGCTAATTTACTTTCCCTTGTCCTTAATTCTCAATTATATGTTCATTAGTTACACATCTCAGATTTAAATTAATTATCCTGCTCTTAAGGAAAGGTGCTTAACATGTGTTAAATTTTGCAGAAAATTCTATCCGCGTGACAAGCCATTTCAGTGCTGTCAGACGACAAACAAGCGCGCGCTTTGTTATTCACCAACAAAGAAACTCATTTAAATTTCAAATACAACCTCTAACCTCGACGTGATATAAACAGCTTTGAAGAGATGAAAAAAGAACATTGTATTTCAGTTTGAACAATGAAGACGTTTGGATTCTATCTCTATTATTCATTGAAACTATTCAATTTACCCATTAAGTGCTATTGAAGACTAAAATTTCTCGTGCAAAGGTAGATTCTGCTACTGCTATACTCGTTACATGGCAATATAATACATGTATGCCTGTTGTGCTTAAGAAGTAGGTTATTATCATTGACAGATCATGATCAGATCTGAAACTATCCGGATTCTAGAATGTTACTAACATATGTGACACCACTTCAATGCCTTCCATACCACACCAGTCCATACGCCCAATTTCTATCTCACTGAATAAACACTACTATATATATATATATATATATATATATATCTATATATATATATATATATATATATATATATATATATATATATATATCATAACATAAAAAAGTAGGTTTCAATTGTAATTTGTGTTTTTGATCATTCAAAATCATCTTTTATCCTTTACACATGCAAAACCACGTGTTCATTGGGATTCTTCTTGCTTAAAGAGAAAAGATTAAAAACAAACCAAAGCAAAAATTTAACTTCTCGAGGAATATTGATAATTATGACATTTTGAGCTATTTAATAATTTTGTGGAAAATATCAAAGATGTCACTGCTAACAAACTCGTCTCACTAATTCACTTATCGTTTGCTTTTTAAGATAAAATAAGTTATCGTAAAGAGATTTCAAGATTCTTATTTGCCTTCAATTGCTACCACCACCACCACTATTATCACTACTACTGCTAGTAAGTTCTTCTAATGCCTGACGATCTTTGGCAAGGACAATGTCCTCAATCATACGTGATCTTGTGCCAATCTTTAGCTGTTCTCCATGAGAGATTCTGTTGAGAAATATCAGCCTTAACGGCTATCTGCCATATGGTCTTTGTTAACCCTCATTTTATTTGACCGGTTTTTTTATTTTTTTGCATGTATCTGCCATTTTTCAAAATTTGTTTTCAACAAGTATTGTGGGTTAAACTTTGCACAATGTTATATTTTTTATAGTACACCCCACATATAATGATCGTTTTTCTCCAAAGGATGTTTAACCGCTCCATGACCTAGTGGTTAGAGCGTCCGCCTCGGAAGCGGAAGGTCGTGGGTTCGATGCCCGTCGAGTCATACCAAAGACTTACAAAAATGGTACTAACCGCTACCTCGCTTGACGCTAAGCATTAAGAGATTAGTGTTATAAATGGTCGGCCTGGTGTCAGGATAATGTGACTGGGTGGAACATCATGTTACATATCTGCGGCATGATGCCCCAGTGCTAGACATCACTATAATCTGCCACACTGCAGTTTGGCAGACATCGTAGCGATATGACTGAAAAATTGTTAAAGCTACATTAAAAATTATAAACATCACACCAAAAGATGTCAACAAAATGCTAGTCATGCTCATAACGCTTTGCCAAAAAAAGTGATTCGCATCCAAAAACAGCAGACTTTCACAGGAATTTATGCGTCAACCTTCCTATGCAATATATTATACTTAAAACTGACATTTAAGTTCACTTACCGGTTTAAAGTATTTGGACCATCGCGTATTTTGTTAGTGTTTGTATTTATACTTGTCAAATTTCGGGATGCATTTTTCTTCTGAAAAGCTGGAAGTTCATTTTTATTTGACTGTCCTGAAATTAAGTGGCGTGGGTAATTAAAGACGGCAGAGACCATTTGTTCCTTGAGTCAGCCATGTTCTTGTTTGTCCGTGTTTTCTCTTCCACCTTTGCGTTTGGCAATAAGAGGTGAAACGTTAACAATAGCTTTTGTAAAAGTCGTTGTTTAAAGATCGAAAACTGACATTTTGTCATTACTTTTTTGTGAACTCCTTGAAAAAATGGGGTAAAATATATTCAGGCTTTTCTGCAAAAAGTGATTGATTTCAGGTTTAGGTGGTAGTGGCATTTCGAGAAAGTTTTCGATTTTAAGTTTTGATAGCAGTGGCCTTTCGAGAAAGTGATTGATTTCAAGTTTTGATGGGAGTGACGTTTAGAGAAAATCGAAAGCGTCATTTGTCATTTGGGGAACGGCTAAACTGAACTAGGGTCAGATGATATTCTGGAAGAACCATGGAACGTACCGTTGTTACTTAGGACTTCATTTTTTTTTCAGAACAAAACGGACAGACGTAAACGTTAAGTTTACGATCTAATACTAAAAATATGATTATCAAAAGAAATCTAGATGCTTCATCGAACAATAGAGAGTGGAGTTAGTACCGCCGCATACATTTTACCATCAATGCAAAGCGCACCATCCCCATTTACATTATCTTAAGTATGTGACGTCACAAAAAGAGGCATCCATCTCAGAATTTACTATAAACTAGGTCCTTTATTCACGTGTTAAGATGAAAAATTGATTTTTTATACAAAAAGTTTTAAAATTTATGCTAATAGAATGCTATTCAATGTTTGCTGAAAATGCATGTAAAGAGTATGGTAACCAACTGATAATGTGATTAATCCTAAAGAATAATCCTACAACGCATTCAATGGCCCAATCATATCATATCAATAAACTCACATTTATGCTCATTTCAACTGATTTTTTTATCACTGAATGAATATAATTGTCAGGGAGCAGTTATATAGGATCCTCAATATTCTGGTTATTGCCTTTTGTGGTTTTGATAAAACTACTTTTTTAAATAGTTTTTCAGACCGGTTTTTTGTTAGCTAAAAGTGTTACTATCAATGGACACTCTCGTGTCATCCTCACTATTGCTTCACAACTGTAAATGAATGTCTGCATCATAAATAAACACTACGAAGAGGTTTGGCATCATAAATAAATAAAAACGGCAAAGAGGTTTTGGCATTAAAAAAACATGACAGAGAAGTGTGGCAACATAAATAAACATTGCAACATAAAAAACACGGTAAATAGCTTTGGCAACAACACACATCAGAAACTATCAAACGTAAAATGACGAAAGAAGAATTGTGTTGTGTGCACATTGTTGTGTTTTATTTATATAATACCTTGGATTGATTAACTGTGGATGCAATACATTTTTTGTTGTGTATCAACGAGTCAATTTTAAAATTATTAGTTGTCTCCTATAGACCAATATAGACTAACACAGACTCTAAGATATCATAGCGTGAACATGTTTATCTTTTTCTAAACAAGAGCAATACATGGATAGATCAGGGTTTCAGGTCAGTAGACTACATATCAGGGTATTAGGTCCGTAGTCTATCTATTAGGGTATCAGATCCGTATACTACATATCAGGTTATCAGGTCCGTAGACTACATATCAGGGCATCAGTTCCATAGCCTACATATCACACGGTTTGAATACACATTTCCCCATTATGATAGACCTTCGAATCGTTGAATAAAATAATGCACGTGCTAAATTGATTTTTCTCAAAGCACCGTTCATACACAAATCGATTTTCTCGTGGTCCGGAGAGAAATTTCATTGATTCAGCCCTGCAATAGATAGGGCATATCGCATGTCATCGCAGAATATAAATCTCTACAAATGCCATCGATTTTTCTGCAAATGATATTGTTTCAGCCACACTATACTATACGAAGTCAGGCTGCAAATAAACTCATCTGTTCATTTCGAACGGATTGCAAACAGGCAATAATTGTTTAAAGCAATAGACAATTAGAATTGTCACATAAATATTAATTTCTAGGAAGCCAAATTGCTGATGTATTATGTGCATTTTTATTATCCCATGACATCACTTTTGTAGTTTGCCGTCTATCCGCTAACACCATAGATACACATCTACCGGCACATTATGTGACGGCAGATCAGGGAATGTACAGCTTGCAGTTAGATTATACCTATAAGCGAGTTACAAGCTGTATATAGCTGTATACGAAATATGAAGTACACTGAGAGACTAGCACTGTGCTTTTGCCCTAAAGGCGGAGTCTTATGGTGTTTATCTTGATATCTTCAGCTGCGACGAGTTATTTAAATCAAGTTTTTGGCAATATAAAGGTGATATGGCACGATTGACGGCGACAGTAGAAGGCAAGACGGTTGATATTCCCATTGTCTATTTATTATTCATTCCCTAGCTAGCCATTAAATCTAGATATCCATTCGACTGACCCTCGCCAAGGGCAAGCTCTATCTTAATAACATGTCGTGATCTTCATTTTAATACGAAAGGCTAGCCGCCATTTGACCACGTCGATGTCCAGGGTGTGTGGGTCAAATTTCAGATTGGTTTTTGTTGCCGAAGTGAGTTCCTGCCGAACGTTCAATATCTGCAACCATTCTATAAAGCCTGCTCAATGCTTAATATTTTGCAATCTTTATTAATGGACGAATATATCAATTTCTAGCAGCAAACTTAGACTGTATCAAGAAAAACATGCTAGAACTATTTTTAAAATAATTCCATTGATTGATAGAATGCATAGCACTTGAGGATTGTAATATTAGGATTAATGAAGTACTTGTTATGAAAACACCACTATTGTGAATTCAGTTTAAACGAGACAATCTGTGTGCGGTCGATCGATCGATCAAGAGAGAGAGAGAGAGAGAGAGAGAGAGAGAGAGAGAGAGAGAGAGAGAGAGAGAGAGAGAGAGAGAGAGAGAGAGAGAGAGAGAGAGAGAGAGAGAGAGAGAGAATCAGATCAGACCCGCTGACGCTTGCGATCCCAAATTGATAACTTTGGATCTTAACATTGTCCTCTAGTGAAATTACTAAAAGGGTATATAAATTGAATATAAACAATAACTTATGAACCTAGTGTTATTCTCCAGTACTTGAACAGTGTCCAAAACCTCTGCCAATAGCCTATGACATAGACAATAAAAGTGTGATTTTCCAGCAGTAAATGGTACCTGCATATTAAATTTGGATTACAATGAATTTAAATGGCTTTAAAATGGTTCATACAACTATTGCATACAATTTACATTATCAAATTTTAGCTTTATTTGGCCACTCAAATTACTAATGCGCTCTTCCTCTTTCCTATGGTACATGTATAGTTAAGTGTTAGTCCTTTGGGGTTATAGTGAAGTCAAACAGGAAGCATTGAAGAGGGTGCGATCAGACAGTAGAACAAGATCGTCATTCACAAATGGAACTCTTGAAGCAAGCCACTTAAGTTTTAGCTTCGTTCACATTCTTGGCTGTCGGTGATCTGGTACTGGAATTCATTGCATCTGCTGTTTTACCGTCGACATTGCTACATTTGACTGGATGTGTGCAAGTAAATTGAATATCTGCACCACTTGGAGAAAATGATTTATTGCTAGGGGGATGCATTTTCTCATCACATTACTGTATTTTTGCAGTCTTCAAACTAATCTGAAATTCCATACAAAATGCAGGCCTTTCAAAACTGTTGAATGATGGAGAATATTTTTGAATGCGCACATTTCAAAACTAGACGAAATGGCGGATAATATTTTAATGAGTTTGTTTCTGTTTAAAGATCTAGTTTTCTTTTCCGAGTTAAAAGTTTATATATATATATATATATATATATATATATATATATATATATATATATATATATATATATATATATATATATATATATATATATATCGGCCAAAACATTTATGATAAGACCAGATTTTAATTGCGTTGATACGTTCAATTTATTGCTTGCTGTTGTTGTTTTTTAATACATCAGCCATATCTAAATATCCGAACCGAGTGTACTGCTGTGTGAGTAAATTTGCCAGAGTACACTGGAAAGATTTCGAATGATCGGATCTCAGGACCGAACTCTTAACGTATGTACGAAGTGACTCGTATGATCCATGTAATCATACAGCAAGCAAAGACTGAACCGTGTCGTGATGTTGCAGAAGAATTTTAACAAAAGCCTAACTGCTACAGTCTAGTTGAAGAAAGTTAATGGCTGAAATGCCGTAGTCTTCTTGAAGAATGTTAACACAACTGATGATTGCTTAACATAAAGTGTGCGCATGCTAATGCAGTAAAGCAGTTTTATAGATCTCCACAACAGCTCTCTCTCTCTCCAGCAAACGTTAAACAATCCAAATGCTTCTAAAGCAGGCGTTTTTACGACTATGTTATGAGACGTGAGTCATTCCATTTTGCCACAGTGTAAAATGGACAAAGAATTTTGAATGCTAATTAAAATTAGCGCC